CTCATTAATTGTCTACCATCAGCTACAATTGAAGGCAAGACGCCGATTGAGGTATGGTTTGGAAAACCTATTTCCGATTATGACTCTTTACATATTTTTGGTTCCACTACTTATTATCATGGGAAATAGTCTAAGTTAGATCCTAAAGCAAATAGAGCAGTATTCATGAGGATTACCTCAAGTGTGAAAGGATACCGTCTTTGGTGTCCAAGTTCGAAGAAAATACTATTTAGTAGGGATGTGACATTTGATGAGTTCTCACCAGCAGGTGGAGCATACTCAACAGCAGGTGGAGTTTGAAACAACATCAGTTAGCCGAGCTAGAAATGAGAATCCTATGATAGAGGTGCCCATTGGAGATGAAAAAGAGGATTCTTCCCAAGAACCTCAACAAGAATCCATTGCTGTTAATAAGCCAAGACAAGAAATTCGCAAGCCTGCTCGTTTTGCTGATACGGTGGCCTATGCACTCCTAATTGAAAATGAAGTTCCTTCCACTTGTAATGAAGTAGCCAGCAGTTTCGAAAATGGTAAGTGGAAGAAAGCCATGAAAGAAAAGATGCAATCTCTCCATAAGAATGAAACTTGGGAGGTAGTTCAATTACTAAAGAATAAGAAGGCAATTGGATGCAAATAGGTATATGCAAAGAAAGAAGGATTTCCTAATTTGATAAACATCCGATACAAGGCAAGGTTGGTGGCGAAAGGCTATGGTCAGAAGGAAGGAATAGATTACAATGAGGTATTTTCTCCAGTTTTAAAGCATTCTTCCATTAGAATTTTGTTGGCCTTGGTAGCTTAGATGAATCTTGAACTAGTTCAACTTGATGTGAAAACCGCGTTTCTACTTGGTGATTTGGAAGAGGAAATCTATATGACTTAGCTAGAAGGATTCAGGATTATTGGGAAGGAAGATTGGGTTTGTAAACAGAAAAGATCGCTTGATGGTTTGAAACAATCTCTGAGGCAATGGTAGAAGCAATTTGATAGGTTTATGATGGGTTAGAAGTACACAAGAAGTAAATTTGACAACTGTGTGTATTTTCAAAGGCTACAAGGTGATACTCTCATTTATCTACTCTTATATGTTGATGATATGTTGATAGCTTCAAAGAACGTAGAAGAAATTAAGAAGTTAAAGGCTCAACTAATCAAGAATTTGAGATGAAGGATTTAGGGGAAGCCAAGAAGATCCTCGGTATGGAGATAATTAGAGACAAAGGAAATGGCAAGGTTAGTTTGACACAAAAGCAGTATCTAAAGAAGGTCTTACAACGTTTTGGCATCACTGAAAGGACAAAACCTATAAGTACTCCACTTGCTCCTCATATAAAGCTTAGTGCATCACTATCTCCAGGTACAAATGAAGAATAAGAGTATATTTCAAAGGTTCCGTATTCAAATGTGGTAGGTAGCTTGATTTATGCAATGGTGTGTATAATATAAACTCTAGGCCTGACATTTCACATGTAGTTCGAATTGTGAGCAGGTATATGCATGATCCTGGTAAAGGATTGGCAAGCTGTGAAGTGGATTTTACGATACATTATAGGTACTGTAAACACTGGTTTGGTTTTTTAGCGAGATAAAAATTTTAGTCAATTTGCTATTGGCTATGTTGATTCTGATTATGCTGGTGATTTGGATAAGTGTCAATCAACTATTGGATATGTATTTACTCTTGCTAGAGCTCCAGTAAGTTGGAAATCTTCTTTGTAGTCCACAGTTGCTTTGTCTACTACAGAGGCAAAATATATGGTAGTTACAGAGGCTGTAAAAGAAGCTATTTGGTTACAAGGGCTATTGGATGAATTGCAAATTAGTCAAAAGAAGATCACTATATATTCTGATAGTCAGAGTGCTATTCACTTAGCAAATAATCCAGTATTCCACATTTGCACCAAGCATATAGATGTTCGTTACCACTTTGTGCGGAAAATCATTAATGAAGGAAGAATCTCATTAGAGAAGATTGAGACTCTTGAGAATCCTGCAGATATTTTAACGAAAGTAGTGACAATGATAAAGTTCAATCACTGTTTGAACTTGATCAACATCCTGCGAGTTTGACTGCGCAATTTGGCGCATTTGAAGGTGTTGTAAAATTTGTTAGAAGAATACAAAACTTTGAAGGTTTGCTAATTCTCCAAGATGGAGATTTGTTGGAAAAATGGCTTATTTAGCAAAATCTCATATGGGGTAGAAGTGAAAATGGAGAAAGGTTTAGGGACTTATATGAAATAGGCCAAAGGTTAGTATGTCCCACATTGCTTAGGAATGAAAGTGGGGGAACTTTTGGGGCCTATATATAAGGACCCAAGCCATGGTTATAAGCATCCCAAATTGTATTTCCATTACACCCCTCTTGTATAGGGTTCTTTCATTAAAGACCCTTTAGTTGAAAAGTTTTGTTGTATCTCCCCTTTGTTTTGGGTAACTGTTTTTATGCCTATATAGTTTGGGTATTTGTAGTATTGCCCAAAAAGTTTGTAATATTCTTTGGAGATAGTAGAGTTTTCTTTTGTAGCACACGAGGACATATGTTATAATACCGAACCTCGTTAATTCCTAGTATTCTTTATTTTTGCATTTATTTTGTCTATTTATTTTTGCTTTAGTAGTTGTTATTATTTTATTTAAATAGCTAGCATTGAGTTTATGTTTCCGTTGCATAACACTACTTTCATGCATTGACCATTAATTTTCCAAATATCAGAGTATTCAGAGAAAGATAGGATTTTTTTTTTTTTTTTTTTAAGGGTTTAGGGAAAACAAAAATTGAAGGTTACTACATTTGTCTTTCTTGACCTGCGTACAGATTTTCATGTCTGTTTCTGGCTCTTCTATGTATTTCCATGGCTGCAGGCCACTTGATATAGAGCAAAATAATGAAAACTAACACAAATGTAAGGCATGTATGCCCTACAACAACTGTGAAAGCGTTAAATGCGATAAACTATTAATCTCATAACCAATCAGCTGGACTCAAATATACTTTTTATAATGGGTTATATCTGCAGAAAGTTTAAGTGACTACGCAAATTATGGGTGCTATCTGTGACTGAGGGGCTGGCTTTACTTCTTGTTCAATGGATCGATTGTTTTGGGAAAGCCACTGCAAAGCAGTAGTGCTCTTTGAAATCCATATATGTAGATTGCGTGTATGGCGTTACAAATAGTAAATTAACACTGGTGCAGACGTCAAAAGTTCCCCAATTTAGTGGTCACCAGCGAGTTGTTGATGATTAAAAACTTGAATATTACTCTTTTCTGATACTTATTTTACTTTTCCAGCTAACTCTTTGACATGCACTTATTATTACCAAATGAAATTTCTTTCCACTATCTGTATTGGAATTTTGCATTCACATAATACTATAGACGGACTCTAGCTTGAATGTAAGAAGACAAAAATAAAATAATTTAATGTGCTTTATGAATACGTAGTTACAAAAACAAGTGAAAGGTCAGAAATTAAAATTAAAACATATGAAATAGACTTTTTATATATTTACACATACTAATATATATATCTGGTTATCCCAACAAAAAAAATCAAGGAGATTAATTATCAATTTAATCAATAAATGAAAGAGTATTGATATATACAGTAAAACCTTTCTATAGTCATAATGGTGGGATTAACTAATTTTATTACTATGAAGAGGTTATAACTTAATGGAGGTGTAATTACAAAAATTATTATTTTGATTTCTTGTTTTATAATTCATATTTTAGAAATATAGTATTAGGATTTCAATTCATATTTTAGTAGTATTAGGATTTCAATTCAACGCTTCAATTGCCTACTTTTGAAATGGATAAAAGATCGTGTCTTGGAACCAGCAATAATATGTGTCATTGATGGGACTGTAAATGCAGTTAATGTATGGTTAATTGATGTGAAGCCACAGACAATTGCCAATGACTTTAAGCAATGCAAAATTAGGACTCTCAATGTTGATGAATTGCAAGTTACAAATGAAGTGGATGAAGAGAATAAAAGAATCATTGCAGAATTGAATAATCAGATTCGATAACTTCAATACACTAATCGAATGGATACTAATGTCTTCCTCGATCATCCAAATGAGCAACAAATTGTGTATACTTTAACTAAAGTATAAATCATTGCTACAATTAGACAATAAGAGAAAAGAAATAATCCCGAGGATGATAGTACGAAAATACAGAAATTTTCATGTCATGAAGCTCTAAACATGCTTGAGAAACTGAAAATATGTTGGCTTCAACAAGAAGGTGTTCGTGCTAGCGAGTTATTACGTACTTGTAAGGTAAAAGATGTGGTAATAACTTTAAAACATAAACCATTGTCCCAAACAACTTTAGATAAATATTTTATATTATCTTAAACCTTTAATGTAACATAATGTATATATATATTTTTTTTTGTAATATACAGATAATTATTACTATACAGAGGCAATTTTCCTTAAGGCGGGAATTAGAAAAATTATAACTTATTACAATGTAAAATTTATTCTTATTTATAACTATCTCAAATTTGGACTATAATTTTTTATGACTATGTAGAGTTTATTCTTATATAGAGTATCACTATAGAGAAATTTTACGGTAATAAATGTTATGCATGTTAGCACGTTTCACTTAATACTCAATAATGTTTCAATCAATGATCGATATTATATTTAATGAATATTAGAATTTCGGTATCAGTATTTGATTTTTGGCATCTTGTTTTAGCATTTATATTTCTTGTTCAAATTATTATCCATTTTTAGGTATTTCTAGAAGTCCTATAAATAGATGATAAATTTACATTTTCAACACCAATTTCGATTTTCTTTGCTCTATTAGCTGGATTGTTCTCTATATAGGCTTGTCAATTAACAGTAGATATTTCATGTCCAGTCTGTTTTTCATTTTTGGGTGTTATTGAAATCCCTATAAATAATTGAATATAGAGCAGCATCAATGTATTAAGTTCATTAGCACTAAAACCAATCTAGCCATCTAACATGGCTTTCCTGAGAACTACATTTCTCATTTTTGCTCTTACAATGTTGTTCTCTCTGTCGTGTTTGGATGCTAGGGAACTCTTGAGCAGCGAACCTAATCATCGTATTTTAAGATCTGGTCCAAGCACTCGTGGATCTGGCCATAACTTCCCAATGCCACCACCACCACCAATAGAGGTAAATCATCGTGTTTTGAGATCCGGTCCAAGCAATCGTGGAGTACATGATATCACGCCGCCACCAGTGCCACCAACAGAGCTTGATCATCGTGTTTTGAGATCCGATCCAAGCAATTGTGGAGTACATGACATCACGCCGCCACCACTGCTGCCAACAGAGCTTGATCATCGTGTTTTGAGATCCGGTCGAAGCAATCGTGGAGTACATGACATCACGCTGCCACCGTCGCCACCAAGAGAGCTTGATCATCGTGTTTTGAGATCCGGTCCAAGCAATTATGGAGTACATGACATCACGCCACCGCCGCCGCCACCACCAATAAAGCTTGATCATGGTGTTTTGAGATCCGGTCCAAGCAATCGTGGAGTACATGACATCACGCCGCCACTGCCACCACCAACAGAGCTTGTTCATCGTGTTTTGAGATCCGGTCCAAGCAATCGTGGAGTACATGACATCACGCCGCCACCACCGCCAATGGTATAGTCTTCTCCATCGGATTAGTGCTAGACCTGATTGAGCTGGCCATGCATGGAGGCAATTAGGGAATGGAATCATTTTATTATTCTTCCCATGCAATTTCAAATTATGCTTTACATAAGATAATAGCATAACATGTATGCTAGTGCATGTAATTGTCTTCGAAAATGGCACTTTTATATATAATGTTGTACCACCTCCCTTTTCCCATCAATAATTGAAATAAAATTTATCATTTATATATATTATATATGGCTTATATGTATGCTTTATGTTTCAACTTTCGACTGTTAGAGTCATCCGTGCGAAATATTTGTAATGAGGGTGCTTAATAGGGTTCGGAATTTTAGTTGGTTACTAATAATAAGAGTGTACTGGTTTGAAATTTATCAAAACTATAATAAATGTTAAAAATAATTACTGCAAATAATTATCTCAGATTTTCAGCATCGGGTCTACATCGGCATATACAGGCCATAATTCTAGTAGAATTTCCTAAGAGTTAACATTAGAAACAAGCTTTTCCCAATTTTATATATAATATCTTGTTCAAAATAACTTTAAAATTTGTTGGAGAGAGTGTCAAAGGTTTAACTCACTTTAGTGTATGGTTACCCATTTTAAGTGCAGCGGAAATATTACCAAGTTGTTTAAGACATTTCCAATTTAACCACATCAAACACAAGTGAGGAAAATAAAGTACACAACCATATACATGATTCGATTAAATCCATTTTTAGCCTACATTCATGAAACCTTGTCCAGATCAAAGCAACCCACTAAGTTAAAAACACATTATAAGATAATGTTCAAAGTTGATCTAAGATACAGTAAAAAGAACTCATTGTTCAATTTTACACTTAGCACCATACTCTGAATCCTTAACGTGTAGCAACTCCTTGAACCTTCTTCACGCCGGAAACACACTTGAGCATAGCTTGTGAACCACCAAGCTTCAAGCATTGACGCCACACATCAACATCAGCAAAGGAACCATGTTCCAAGAGCCATCAAGTCTATGTTTGATATGGTGAGGTTTTGGCACAAAATGGAAATGAACCATGAACCTTAAAAGAAATAATACTTTAAGAAAATTCAGAGTATACTGAAATAAAAGATCAAAATGTTAGATTCAAAGACGCAAGATGAGATGATATATAGTGAAGGGCTTCTTGCTCAACACATATATGCCACATCAGCCTACAAGGGGCTGACCCACAAATAAGAAAAATATTCATTCTTTTGGTTTGGATCACAAAACAAATCGGGAAAAAAAAAATTTATTCCCTAGGACCACTTAAGGATACTATGACACATGTAAAAGGTCCTAAAAGGTGAGAAACAAAGATAAACAATATTTTTTTTCACTTTATTAGACATGCAACTTGTGTTGGGTTGCAAATATCTGAAGTGAGAGTGTAAGCATAAACTGTTGTGCACAAACACTCGAAATGAAATAAGCCAAGACATAAGTTGGAAACCAGTGTGCACGCAGAACTGATGTGCATACACATGACAAAAGAAACAAGCCAAATCATAAGATTGGCAACCAGTGTCCACACATAACTATTGTGCACACATAATTCATAAGTTTGACAAATATAAATACTCCACAAAGTTCATTATTTTTTGTATTGTTGAATTAACGACATTATGAACGATAATGTGCGAGGACATATACAAGAGAAACAACGTCGCAGCTTATTATAATTGTTAAGCATATGATACAAAGGGTGCAGATTATAGTTTGGGAAAACATAAAGGGCCACCCAGTAAATTTCCAATATGCTATCGTTTTTGAGTTAGTTTTTAGTTAAAATACTTGAGCTCAAATGAGCTACTGTATTTTACTTTACTAATTCTCTTCTCCTTCGTTTTTTCTCTCCTCTGTATATAAGAGAGATTTTTGATTGTTTTCAATTAATTCAATCAATTCAAATTAGATCCAGTTTTTGCTATTTTCTCTTTAATCTTCACATGGTATCAGAGCCACTAACTCACGTCAATGGCTGAGAATTCTGGTGTTGACAGTTCTTCAAAGAACGTGAATAAGCTTGCGTCAATGGCTAAACTTCACTCATCTATCGTTCCTTCAAGTCTTCAAGTGATAAATCCGAAGCTAACAAGGGACAATTACCATGATAACTACCGTTTTTGGTGCTCGCAAGTTTTGTTCATAGTAGGAGCTCATGGATTGGAAGAGCATTTGACAGATTTGATCTCCTGTCCTGAGCCTTTACTTACCTCACCTATTGATGTTTCAACTGAATCAGGAATAATTAGTTCTAAGGAAACCCTAGCTAAAGAGAAAATTAATCCTGAATATGTTGCTTGGAAACGCATTGATAAGTTTCTTGTTACCTGGTTACTTGCGTCAATATCCGAGTGTATGTTTAGTTGTGTTTCTAAGTGTCAACTTTCTACCGATGTTTGGTTTACACTTGAAAAGGAGTTCTTGTCAGAGTCTAAAGCTAGGGCACTTCACCTGAAAAACTTACTCTAGAATACTCAAAAAGGTAGTCTTAGTGTTAGTGACTACATCAAGAAAATGAAAGGCATAGCTGAAAGTTTAGCATCCAGTGGACAAGTTGTTTCAGATGAAGATGTTCTTCAATATGTTCTGGATGGATTAGGTCCTGAATTTGATGCTGCTGTAGTCAATTTGACTTCCAGACTTGAGTCTAGGTTTGATTCTGTGAGTATTCAAGAAGCACAGTATCTTCTACAAAAATATGAACTAAGACTAGAGAAATTTAACTCGGTTGATTTTCCAGTAAGTTCAGTTCACATAGCTGCAGTGAGTAATTCCAGTAATTCTTAGTTTAAACCTACTCATTCAAGCACTATAAACACCTCAGTTAGCTCTACTGGCAATCCAACTTCTTTCACACAATTTATACCTTCCCTAAACACTTTATCTAATCCCTCCTACACACAACATTATCCTCTAGGAGCTACTATTCCCACTGAACAAACCTATTCACACTATACTCCTCCACAACCCTACTATAATCAATCAGCCTATAGACCTGCCGTCTTTCCCAATGTTGGCAGAGGTCGTGGTTGGAGCAATGGTAGAGGGAGGCCAATATGTCAAGTCTGCAGCAAGATTGGTCACACTGCAGTACAATGTTACCACAGGTATAACTCCAATTATAATGGGACCTCACCTCAATACAACCCTTCCCTACAACAAGCAGGTGCTGGATCATATTTCTCTCTTGGTTCCCAAGTTTCTGACACCTCTGGACACAATTTTGCCAGCAATTTCACTAGTAACATCATGCCACAACAATCTGTCCAGTCCTCTCAGTCACATGAAGGATCACAATTTCAAGGACAGTTTATTGAAACCTCTCATCAACCACACTCATAGCCTTTAACAAAACAACCAGGATTCCAAGTACCCAGCAAACAACAACAAACACCTAACCAAGCCTACCTAGCCTGTCACCAGAACATACATCACCAAACATCTAACCAAGCTTACCTAGCTTCTCAACAGACCTTACCTATCAGCTCTCATCCCTCATCAGATCTTGCCTGGTATATGGACTCTGGTGCTACCGACCATGTCACTGCAGATCTTAGTCAGTTGAATGTGAGCAGCAATTATGGTGGAATTGAACAGTTACAAGTAAGCAGTGGTGAGTTTCTTGATATATCCCATATTGGCTTTGCTTCTTTACCTAGTTTTCTACAAAATAAATGTCTACATCTGAAAAATGTTTTGTGTGTACCAAGAATTACTAAAAACCTGCTCAGTATATCCAAATTTACTAAAGACAATAATGTTGTGGTTGAATTTAACTCTGACTATTACATTGTTAAGGACAAGGTTTCCAGAGCAGTGTTACTACAGGGAGAACTTAATGCTGGGTTGTATTAGTTGAGACTTCCATCTGTTAGTTCTCATGACACTTTAGCTCAGTCGTCTGTTCCTCTTAATGCACAAAGCCTAGTTTCTGTCATCAGTCACAAACCTCAGTCTGTATCTACTCTCAGAGATAAGACACCACACAAGAGTCATAGGGAGTCACAAACTAGTGTCTATTCCTCTACTGTTAATGCTGCTGATAATACTGATAATAATCACACAAAGTCAGTGCTGGATAGTTGTAATGTCTCTCAAATAAATAAAATCATTTCTGTTTTTGATTCTGATTATTCTTTGTCTAATAATAATGATGAATTTGTTAACAATGTTGATATCTCTAATGGCCTATATGCTGGTACTAATAGTCATATTGTTGATAATACATGTAATAAGAATTCTAGTTCTGTTGTTCCTGCTTTCTTTTGATGCTGATGGAATTAATTCTGTTAAAACATAATGTTGTTGATTCTGATAATTGTCTTGATGGTTTTGCTACTGATGGTTTTGATGCTGATGGTATTAATTCTATTAAAACATCATGTTGTTAATTCTGATAATTGTCTTGATGGTTTTGATGCTAATGGTTTTGATGCTGATGGTTTTCATTTTTTTGATGAACATTCTGTTGTTGATATGGTAGTAGTAATTCTGATGCCAATTTGATAACCAACCATCTGTCTCCTTTACTTTTCAAGTCACCTGTCCTAACAAAACACTTCATCACTCTGGCATAACGATTAGACATCCCTATTCTGAAGTTTTTCAGAAAATATGTTGCAATTAACCATAATCCTTTGAAACATATTCCTTCATTTCCTTTTGTGATGTGCCAACTTGGCAAAATGCCAAAAACAGTTTTCCTGTCTCTAATTCCAGAGCTATTGTTCCTCTTGAATTAGTTCATAGTGACATTTGGGGTCCATCTCCAGTAGCTTCTATTGAAGTTTTTAATTACTATGTGCATTTCCTTGATGATTTTAGCAGATTTACCTGGCTTTTCCCTTTAAGAACCAAAGCTGAAGTGCATTCTGTCTTTGTTAAATTTCATCATTTAGCTGAGAGACAGTTTAATCATAAACTCAAGTGTCTCCATCTGATCAAGGTAGTGAATATAAGGTTTAGTTCCTTA